GGGTGGGAGAGTAGAAAAGGGAATAGTGTCTTAAGGAAGCGACTGGAACCATGCCTCCTGTGAGAGCTGCAACTGGAGAGCTAAACGTTATTTTGTCTTGCACCTATATTAGCTGTAAGTGTTGGTGCCATTAGAATCTATTTTCTGGGGGACAAATTTTCCTTTTCTATGTATTGATCTTCAAGTAATTGATCTTCAAGTAATCAGTGTAGTAAAACAGAGAAGAGAAAGATGAAAAATTTTTTCCTAGATTTTTCCTTTTAACTTTACAGATAAGCTAATTCAACTATTCAGAATGTAGACTCTGGCAGGGACCTGTAAGATCATCCCAGTGTGTTCTGGTTGATTGGATTTGCTGGTGCTAGGTACATACAGTAGTAAATATTTCCCAAACACTGCCTTCATGGAAGTAATCAGATTGCTTCCACTGTGCAATGTGTAGAGTTTTCACACTGGTTGAGAGCTTGAAGCCAAATGGGGGTATGCCAGATGAAAATAGAAGAAAGGGAACAACTGTGGTGATTGCTGTAGCAGCAGTGAACACTTGACCACATCTGGGCTACTGAAATGAAGAAAACTGAAACCCCCTCTATTACTCACCAAGACAATTAAGTGTCTCTTTGAGAAAACCTTGTTATTGTATTATGGTTAAAAACATGCCACACCTTAGAAACACGTCAGCTTCAATAATAATAGATACTTCTTAACTAGTTTTTAAAGTAAAAGAAAACGGTATCTGCAAAAGTTATTGCTTTTAGAATGCTTACTTTTTTATCTGGAGGATTTTGATCTTTAGGCCTCTCACATAATCCTGGTTAAAATTCATGTATACTCCGAATATGAATTTCTATCCTTATGCCTGGGTCATGTTCATTACTATAAACTACTGCAAGGAAATAACCCGCAAACAATTAATTGGTCAAATGGCTGATAAAGTACTGCTTCTCTAAAATCATATGCCTAGTGTAGGTGGCGGGGGCGGGGGAGCCCTCAAATGCCACCATCAGGCATTTTGAAATTCAGCCATTCCGGTACGCGCTCCAGAGACGTGCTTCAGATAGAGAACAGTCAGTCTGGGGGACTCTCGCTCTAAAGAACAAAGGACAAATACAGTCAATACATTCCATAACGTTTACATTTCCTTTGCTTTTCCCCCCTTGGTTTTCCCTGAGAAGGAGTGACCTGGGCAAAGCACCCTGCTCTCTAAAAGACACTGTATAGACCTTTTAGAAGCGCAAAGTCCAAGGCCGAGGTGAACTTCAGGTCAGCGCGTCTAACAAATATGAAAATGTCGGCTGGTGAAGGGCGAGCCTTGTGATTTAACAAAGACTGTCAATGTTTAAGATTAATAAGAAACAAAATGCACACGGTGTCACTGTTCGGTCACTTTGAAACTTGGGACAGGGTTGCATTCAAGAGGGAAGGCTGTTCCAAATATATTCAAAATGATTCAAATCAGATTCAAAGTAGGCTGCAAACACTGTCTCCCTCTCGCCCTCCCTCTCCCTTGGACTCCCTTCGCTCTCCTTCTCCATCTGGGATTTGAGGACATAAAAGTTATTTCACTTAATGGGATTTTAAGAAAGCTTTTGTTGGGAATATATGTTATCCCTGCACGTGGAAATGAGCAAATGTGCTTACCAGTTTCCCCAGAAAAGGATCACGCTTTCACCCTGCTTGGGACTGGAGCCAGTTGGCGTGCGAAGATTAGCACGCTCTCTCTCTGCTCGATTTCAGGGCATCCCATCTTTTCTCGGGCGAGATGCTGCTGGTAAACTTCAGTTTATTTATTAATTGAGTCAGTTTCTTCCTGGCTTTACTTTGGTGACTTGGATCTTACGTGAAGGCAAGAGTTTGGTTGTTTTTTTTTTCCAAAATGTTTTTGAAAAGATTATTTCATTCAATGGAATGATGCTGTGGCTTGCAAAGATTGTGGAAGGATCAGCAAAGGTACTGAGATTGTTTATTACAGCCATAAATCTTGCAGTAAAATGTCAAAATGTCGGTGTGTGAGATAACACTTGGTGGTCCTGGCTCCATTTGTGTTTATGATACGAACCACAAAGACAAGTTACAGGCCTTGGGGGATTCTGTGTAAGCCCATCTTCCTCAAGTAATAGAACCACATGAAACACAGGCAGAGTTAACTCGTTTAGGTTAACCATATACAAAACAGTGCCCGTGCCTCGTTAATACTTTAAAATAGAAACTCGGTAGAAGGTTCTGAGGCTAAACAACATGAATTTTGTGTTTTAGTGTCTGTAAATAATATTAAACAGACATGGGCAAGACTTTAGGACTCAAGGCTGATGACATGAGGAGGGCAAAATTTCGTCGTCGTGTTTTTTCTCCCTCTGAAGCTTAGAGAGCCCAGTTTTGTAAACTACATTATGTATGAATATATTATTCATATTATATAGTATATATGTACATATTATTTTGTCTTGCTGTGGAGCGATATAGGTTTAGGCAGCTCTATCACAGGCTAGATTTTTCCCTACAGAGATTTTCCCTACAGAGGAGGTCTCAAGATTACACTCAGCGTTGATTTCTGTCTGTGGCTCAGATTTCATTAAAAAAAAATTCTCAGGGTGCCCCATATGGATGGACAGCACTCTTCACAGACATACATCCAATGTGGAAAACCTCTTTGTACCACTTCAGGGTGATTCCAGTTAGATAGCTAACATGATCCCTTTTTTAACCTCTTTACCTAAATTAGTTTAAAGATTAGTCCCATATAATAGGCTTTATGTAAGTAAGCATTAAATGACTATCCATCAAATGGATATATTCCAGCATTTAGTAACTCATATGAGTAACCGATATAAATGAAGATAGAATTGACATTCCTTTTGAAGTGTCTCCAGGCTTAGGCTATAACTTTCGTTGTCTGCCTTCCAGACTCAGTTGTGAGAAGGCTGTTTACACTCCTCTTTGAAAAATCAACTAAGGTGCACCAGCTGAAAAATCCTTGCTTTGCGTGCCAATATGAAAGTATTTTTAGAATGGTGACTATGCTAGTTTGCACTGCTTTAATCTAGGCTGAAAAGTAGAGGATCTAGGTGTGTCTGTTACTCAGAAAAGGAAAGAGAAAGTACACACTAGCAGTAAGGCATCAGTATTTACTTCAAAGATCAACATTAGGTGGAATTAATATGTAATTTATTTGTTAATAATGGCATAATTAGTTTACCCATCAAATTTCAATTACCAAATGGCAGGCAACAGTCCTCTCTCCCCTTTCTAGAGCTACTGATATCGTTAATACGCTAATTTTCAGCAATTCAGAAATTATAGACGGTCCTGTAAATAAAAGTTTAGCCTCAGACACAGCCTGAGAAAGCAGCATCCAAAAGACAAAACATAAAATTCTTAGCGGATCAAGACTCGTCAGCGATCAGACTGGGCACAGTGCCTATTCTATCCTTAGCTTCTTTTTGTTTGAGGATTGTTCCGAAATAGGAAGTTGTTGGTTTCAAAGCTCGATTTTATGGAGGGGTCGCTTCTCTCCATTCCCACCCTCGTGCCACCTTCTCTCTCACAATCGAACCTAGAACATGCGAGCATGTTTAACTCTCACTTCGCCACCTCCATCAAATGAGCTACCATTAGGAAAGTTCTGATTTTTCTTAGGGGAAAAAAAAAAATAGATTCTGTCTCTAAAAGAAAGAAAAAATAAAAAGTGCCCATCCGGTTATATTGGAATGCCCTCACTTTACATCCTCGGGACGATCTCTCAGCTGCTCACCCACCCACCCCTTGCGTCTCCTGCCGGGCTTCTCAAAGCAGGACATCTCGGGCGCGGACGGGGCGAGCACGATGTGGTGAAGGGGATGAGCTGGAGAGAAAACGGGTGTGTTGGGCTCATTCGTTTTTTTCCGGGGCCAGGATTAAAGCCAGGATACCTTCTTGGTCCCGACGCCATTCTCTCCCCCAGGCGGCCTGGAACCCTGGAGGACGCCAGGCCAGGCTAGGCTGGCCGGAGGTCAGCGCTGGGCCGCGGCCGCCCGGCTGCCCCGAGGCCTAGACCAGGAGTAGGGGACGCATAGGGCCCGGCCTGGGCGTCCAAGAGGATTAGAAGCCTCGCTGGCCCCGAATTCCCAGCGGGACTCAAAGTTGAGGGGTTGGGGGACCAAATCACCAGCTCCCTCCCTCCGCCCGGGGCCGGACAGGAGCATCCATCACCCACCCGCGCGCTTCCTGATCCGGGTTCGCGCGGGCGGCGCATCCATTGGCGAGACCAGGTCACGTGGGGGAGGGGGTATGGGGCGGGGCGCGCGCGAGGCCGAGACGGAGCGCGCGCGCGCGCGCGTGGGCGGGGGAGGAGCGGAGCGAACTTTGGTGGCGTTGGCGTTGGCGGCGGCGGGAGGGGGAGGGGTGGGCGCTTGACAGCGGGGG